TCTGCGTCTAATAAAGCAAGTAGGCCAGTGGTATTCCTAGACTTAATAATTAAGATGAACTCTCCTGTCGATTTCGAGCCACACTCTGCCGGTGTGTAGGGTTCAGTCATGGCCTTTAAAGGTTTTGTCTGATTATAGGTTAGGATTTGAGGTGTAAATCATTCAAGGGCGTTACCCGTCTCATGTGTTCTGCGTCTCTGTAGGCATAACCAAGACTATATTCACATGCGAGCTTTGTCAAATCCCCTGCTCACTCACCACGGCGTTCGCCGCCTCGATCAAGTTGCTAGTTTTTGCAGTAAATCTTTTGGTTGGATCCCCTGAGATACGGGTGAACTGGGAGGTGTCAGAGAGAGGATGGCTCATCTTACTGACAAAGGAAGCGTTTCCATGGTGACAGATATACTGCATTTGTGTGCTCTTCTTACGACAGTATGCAACAGCCTGCTCTCGCAACACTTTCTGGTTTTTGTACTTCCACCCACTAGCTGGTCTTTCATGTTTGGGTCAACGGTTACCCTGTTTCCCTTTTTTGAGCTACAGCATATGTTGACATAATAACTGTACCCCGACTCTCTCCTCGACATGATCAACTTTCGGGTATATATATATATATATATATATATATATATATATATGCATGTATATGTTTATATATGTTAGTATATATATAATTATACATATATATGTACATATTTTAGGATAGGGGAAAACAGGGCAAAATGAGGCACCCGGGTAAAACGGGCACCCCGCGATTTCGGCTGTTAGAGGTGGCGCCATCGGAAATCAATGGTTTAAACTAAACCTTCTCTGACAGGGGACGGAAATGACGTGCACCGGGCCTTTCTGTCGGCGGCCGTCGTTGGAGGAGTACGTGAGTTTTCGCTTTCAATTTTTTGTAATTATTTTTATGGTGATTTGAACGTTGTTTATTCCACGAGTATAATGAATCGTGAACTAAAGGGGGCTGCGCTTTGATGGTGTATGCATTCAGGTTCCTTGTGAGCAATTGTGAATTTTTCAGGCCAGTTTTCGTTGCGTGTCAAATCATGTTGTGTTGTTGGCGTCCATCGGGCAGAGTGGTTGGGGCAAAATGGGCACTCGGGGTAAAATAGGACACAAAAGGTCCCGTTTTGCCCCATCTGAAATATGACTATCGCAAGGAAAGTTTGGCTTCAATAAGCCATGAACACAATGTTTCAATGGTAATAGCAGGCACATGAGTAGAGCCCGAAACAAGTGAATCGATCCCGTTCCAGTTCTACGATTAAATAGTGATCAAACTACTGCGTCAAACTGGGAATGTGCGGCCTTGCGATTTGTCGTTTATGATTCATTAAAGGTGCGCTTGTGATTGCTCTATATTTATCGTTCCTGTTAGGCCTGATTTGTTGTAATTATGTTGTTTAACAAAGCTTATTTGTGAACATGAGAATTGTAAGTACATACCTGTGATGACTTGATTCAGTATCACGCAGTATCACGCAGTATCACGCAGCAACTAATTTAACAAAAGAAATGAAATGCCCTACTACCAACTAGTTATAGGCATGCAGTTAGGCATTTCGCCTTGATAATTGTACTTAATTTTTCATAGCAGGTAAATGTTTTCCTAGTTTATAAAAAGGAATGTAGGTACACTGACGGGTCCAGGGAGGGATGGAAAGGGGGGGGGGGGGGCTTAAGGTGCAAATGACCCTCCCAAATCCGTTCAACGTTCACGCTGACGTTCTTTTTTGCAGAGGAACTACTTCGTCAGACGGAGAATGGTTCGAAATTACAAGGGAAAAACCGATCGGCAATCCTGGAAGCAGGATACGATGGCAAAGGTCATCAAAGCAGTCGAGGTGGGAAAAATGTCCACCAAAGAAGCGACACGCCGCTTTCAGGTCCCGAAGTCGACTCTCGACAGACGGCTGAAAAAGGCACGGGCAATGTCAATAAGAGTGGCCTCAGAGAAGATCCTGGGTCGACACAAACCTGTTTTCACGGAAGCTCAGGAGCGAGATTTGGGACAGCACATAATGGAGCTCCAAAACCGGATGTTCGGAATAACGCTGACTGACCTCAAGAAGCTCGCATACGAGTTCGTAGACATAAACAAAATCACTCACCCATTCAACACGGTGACGAAGATGGCAGGGGAGGTGTGGATACGGTGCTTCCGCAAGAGGAACCCCACGGTCTCACTAAGGACATCAGAGGCCACAAGCATTGCTCGCGCCGCGGCGTTCAACTCAGTCAATGTCAACGCGTTCTTCGACAACCTTGAGTCGCGGATGGATTCTGCCCAGTTCGGTCCCACACGCATCTACAACGTGGATGAAACGGGATTCAACACGGTCGCAACAAAACAAGGGAAGGTGCTGGCGAGGAAAGGGTGCAAGCAGGTCGGCCAACCGACATCTGCGGAGCGAGGCACGCTGGTTACCGGTGTGATGTGTATCAACACTGCGGGGAGCTACATACCTCCAGGTGTGATATTCCCAAGAAAGAGGGCCAACCAGCAGTTGGGGAAGTGTCTTCCCCCAGGTAGCCTGGTGCTGAACCATGAGTCTGGTTGGATGCAGAAGGAGCTGTTCGTGAAATGGCTTGTCCATTTCATACAGCACGCTAAGCCCTCGAAACAGGATCCAGTCCTTCTCATACTGGATGGACATGCCAGCCGCACCAAGGGCCTCGCAGCCTCCTGCTGTGCAGGAAAGCAGGTGTGGTGATGCTCACCATTCCTCCGCACACCTCGCACCGTCTTCAACCACTGGACCAGACGTTCATGCTTCCCGTCAGCACCTTCTTCTTCCAAGGTCAGAGAACGTGGCAACCGAGAACTGAAACAACCCCGGTAAAGTCATCACACTGGCAGAGATGGGGTAGCTGATCGGGTCAGCCTGCGTGCAGGCGGCAACAGTGAAGATGGCGTTGAAGGGCTTCGAAGTCACGGAGATCTTTCGCACAAACCGCCACGTGTTTGGCGAAGAAGACTTCGCAGCGGCAGAAACAACGAACATCCCGCTGACCAAGACCGCAGACGCACCAGTGGGTCTCAACTCAGCGGCAGCTCCTCTGCCCATGCCTGGGTCCTCTGACGGTGATGTCTCAGTGAGCACGAACGCTCGGGAGTCCCCGGAAACTGTCGCCGGATGCAACGCAGGCTGGAATATCGGGCAGGGAAGCTCGACTAATGCCGAAACTCAAGCGAAGTTGCCCACCGCTGGGGTTCTGCCAGATGATTCCTCAAGCTCTAGCGATGACGAAGATGACGTTCTAGAAGTGTCATGCTCAACTGGACCGAGCCATGCTTCCCAAGGTCGAAATGACACACCCGCAAGGTCCTATGTGTCTCCCTGCGAAATCCTCCCTGTGCCAAAAGTGCACTCAAGGGAAGAGAGAGGTAAAGGACAAAAGAAAGGTAAAACATGTGTCTTGACTGGCACACCATACAGGGAGGATCTCGAGAAGAGACTCGAAGGAAAAGAAGGTAGACAGGGAGGAAAGAAAAATGACAATATAAGTCAGTCTAAAGGAAAAAAGGAAAAGTGCAGAAACTCAGAAACCGCAGCGCAAACAAAAGAAGCGTACGCCGCGAAAGCTTACCTTTGAGGAGTCCTCGGACGAAGAAGATGTAGCTTGTCTGTACTGCGGGTCCTTCTTCTCCATGTTCAAATCGAGCGAGTCTTGGTCGCATTGTGCTCTTTGCGATAAATGGACGCACGATGTCTGTGCAGGGATTGATGAAGAGGACGAGTGCGTGTTCGTGTGCGAACTGTGCCGGGATGACTAGGCAGGCTGATGTCTTGTCTAGTTTCGCCACTGGTCGTACCTGCTGACGGGTTCACTAGGCTGTGCTCTTCTCGTGTTTTGCGTTCACAGTGACTAAGAAGTGGACTGATGAGAAGAACGAGTGAGTGTTCCTGAGCGAACTTTGCTCGATGACTTGTGTGTTTGAGACTCGATCGTTGTCGTCTCATTGTGTAACCACCAGGCTGTGCTCCTCTAATTCTGTGTCTAAGCCGTGCAGCAATGGCTGTCGCCTCATACTAAGCTGTAATACACATTTGCTGGCCATTATAACTTTTATTCGTGGGATCATACTGAGGAAGCGAGTATGGAGTGGGATGGCTCGAACAAAATATGAGAGCCCAAACTTAAGCAACATAGCTATTGGATGTCCAGATAAATACCTACTCACCGAGCAAGGCATTTATTGATGCGTTTTCATTAAAAAATTATAACTTTGAAAATATTTAATTCGCCTATTCAATATCATCACTTGTCCGTTTTTCCCCGAGTACTGCTTCGTTTTGCCCCAAGCTAGGGGCAAAATGAGGAAAAAACATTGCCTGATTTTTGGGAGGATCACACTTTAACATGAACAGATATCAAACCAGCGCTTTTATAAGGGATAGACAATTGATCAGCCTTCAGTATCTACCTGCTAAAGACTTTCTGGACGGAATTATGAACTTTCCATATTAAAAACCGTTAAGGTGTCCGTCTTGCCCCGCTTTCCCCTATAATTATACATATACATACATACATACATACATATATATATATATATATATATATATATATATATGTGTGTGTGTGTGTATATATATATATATATATATATATATATATATATACATGCTCTATCATGGAAAACTATAACAACACATAGCCACTATCACGCTAACATTAGCTTCCGCCCAACACCTTGTACCTCGAGGTCTGTGCAAGAATTTAACCATTTGTTTAAAGTTGGCAAGGTTTCATTGAGAATCGGAAGCTTACTGAAAAAAGCACATCTATGAACGCTACCAGAGTGCCGTGGTGCGGCAAACGCCAGACGCACCGCCGGCAGATCCTTGGCAATGCCGAGGCTCTAGCGCGGCGTAGGGCCGACCGGTCCCGTCACGGGCAAATGTCACGACTCTGCGACTGGGGTCAGCTGGCTGGGTGACCCCTGGTCCGGTCATCTGGCCACGGTAGTGCCGCAAGTGGTGAGTCAAGTCGGGTCTGATGTTTGCTATATCAAGCGGCTTATCAAGTTTGCTATATCAAGGCTTAAAACAATCCAAGATTCCGGAGTTTTTAGTGACGTCACAGGAACGATGAAGCCATGCGGATACTATCATAACTCGGCAAAATTGCAAAAGCGGCGTGCGCAACACGAGCCACCGTACCATAGTGGTGCGACAAACAACCCACGGTGATGCGACAGACACTGAGGCACGGATACTGCAGCACAACTCTCACCTTATCATCCATATTGGGCAATTCAAAATCGTAACGCGGCGCTCCATGCGTCGTTTTGGCAAGTAAAGTTAATAGGCATTCTCCCAACATACCAACCGACATTACGCGCACACATAACAGACGCACACCAAATTTGACAGTCCCGCACTACCGAAAGCTGGCAATCACACACAACATCGGAGCGCCTCTCCCGCCTCGGCACCATCCGACACCAGCGCCAGCTATTTCTCGTCGCCCGGGACCGGCTTGTAAGGATTGTTGACAAGCAGCCAGTCGGCCAGCCAGGTGATGGGGTCTGCCGGCTTAGTTTGGCAGAGCTGCGTCAGCCCCTTCACCAGCGTGGGGCTAACGTAGTCGTCCATGTAGTCGCGCGCCTCGACTCCCGTCAGCAGCGGCTCCAAGTTTACTGCCGGAGAGGCGACACCGTCAGCCGGGGCCCAGAGACGCTCTACAGGGTCCAAACGCTTACGACCGCCTAAAAAATATACAACCTTACGAAATGGCGGCGAGGCCCACTCAACAGGGTTCATGCACAAGCGAATTGCCCACAATGCATGCTTTGACAAGGCTAAAAAGTACACATTACAATTCCGTTCAGAGAATGAAAGTCAATCTTTTCTCTCCGTCAAGCATTCCTTCAACCATCTTACAATTGCCAAACGTAATATCAACATTGCAATATCTGCACCCATGTCGTCTTGCTCAGAACAGCTAACGGCACTACAATCAAACCGTTCTCGATGACAGGCCAAATGACAGACAGACAGAGATGCTGGCAGTTAACTGTCCGCGAACATGAGTTTGCAACATACCTGAGGCATGCGGATCTCTGTCAATCACCGTCATGCCTGCCTTTTATTTAAAGTTTTTTTAATGTCCGACGATTGAATGCACCCTTCCTACTAAAAATAGCAAGGATAAAGGTATGTTGCCGAAGTATCAACGCATCTTTATCTCCATTCCCCTCGTTTTTCTACGATGAGTACGGTCATCACTGCTGTCTTAAAGGGCAGTTTTGACAACAGCAAACACTTCACGATGACAGTTCGCCCATCCACAAAGACGGAGACCTGATCCTCTTAGTGCCACCTGGCTTTTGGGATAATTACCAAACAGACATTCATAAATTCCGCTGCACATTGTTTACCGTCTTCGACTTCTCTCCCGCGCGGTTACACATTGGTTATGATAGGTACAACCCGCTTCACCTCTTGTGCCAAGGGTAATTTCCCAGAAAAGTATCACCTATTTTAGCCGCTAATTGAGCCAGAGATGCAAACAAATAAGGGGCACGTTCTTCGTCATGAAGAAAGCCAGGAGCACCCGGCTTTTATATTTTAGTGCTTGCTTTTTAATATTGTTACATGCCTTGCAGCCACATCTGAGCGCGACGTTACGTTGTCCAAAACATCCCCACCCCTCCTTCACTTACTACGCTTCCGTTACGCTCCATCAAAAACAGTATTCCACTTCCATGCGTAACACTATGTATAGGCGTTCCAATAGCACATGCTGTCAAGATCGCTTTGAAGGGGTTTTCTTAACAGATTCAATCGGCTATACCACATTGGTACAATCAACACATTTCAACTGTGACTTAACGCGGTGCGATGCGTCTGTCTCGCCCTTGTCTACATGTTCCCACGCACGGCAGGGGTATATTCCATGTTCGGTTTGAGGTCGGCTAATCCGGTGTGAGTACCAAATGGTTCACACCAGACACGTAACATAAAAAATCCAATTTGGCACGATTTACCACTTGAACATGCTTCCGACGGTTACGGGTTGAGCGTGTCGACGGAGTGTGGTTGGCAATGCTTCTCGCTGGAGAACACACCCTCACGTAACCTCCTGGACCATCACTTGAACACCAACAGATATAGCGCCTCTGAAGTAAGGTTTGGCGGCTGTCTGGGGGCGCCTGTGCGCTGGCAGCGGCCAACTCGTCGCCGCTCACCGTCAGGAAAGAAGAAGCGGACCTCTCGCTCAGCGCTGGCGGCCGAGTCACTGCCGTGCGCGGCGTTCTCCGTGTCGCTGGCGCCGAACTTAGCCCTGCAGAGCGAACAGTGGACTCCGTGGAAAGGATTAGTGACCTGGAGGCATCCGCGGTCACGCCACGTCATCAGTGCTCAGGATTTGGCACGCTGTGGCGACAGGCCACAAGTGTGACACGTGGTGTTGGTCCATCATACGGGGTTGTCGCTAAGTCACGGGTCATCAGACCAGGCAAAGCGTCTGCGCGCACAGGCTGTGCAGTTGAGGGCCTTTGGAATATAGCCTTATGTCAGAAGGAGACACTGTCGAAAAAGTTATTGAGGGGAAAATGTCAGCGCGGAAGGGCACAAACGGCCCTTTGAAACGTCATCTTCGGCACAAGAGTTCACGATGAAGAGTGTTAGGAACTGTTGCAAAATATTGTAGAATGTCGCAAAAGCGGTTTATGGTTAAGGTGAGCATCCCACATCTTTTGTACTTCCCAATGATGGTTACATCATTACGATTTGGTCAGTAGTACCAGTTTTCTCGAAATCTTCCTGAATAGCTCAGAATTTCGATTCAAAGTAGGCGACCCTGCGGGAGAAGCCTCACTTGGCTCCCTGCTCACCAATATGAAAATATTACATTTCATTGCCTTGCCTTTTGCAACGTGTGTGTTCGGTAATGGTTGCAGCACAGTAGTGTTAACATGGTGGTGTAATAAATGCCACGAAAGCTTGAAACGTTCTATTTAACTAGAAAACATATGCAAACCTGAAGCCATTACCCCGCGAACAAAACGAAACGCTATGCTTGGCTATGCTCTGATTTCCCTCCCACGGCGTTTACCACCGTGGCTCTTTTAGGGGCGCACTTTGGCTTTGGGAAACGGAGTATCACATGACCCACGTGACGTACTGGTTCAAACTTCAGCCGACCAACTTCTCGATGGCAGGCCCTTGCCCGTTGGGCTAATCACAAACGTCCTTTTATTCGCACCAGTAGCGGCGCGCATGGTGGAGTGCTTCACATTTCTATGAGACTTTGAACTGAGATAGCCACCCTCAAGATCATTTGGTGCAGCTGACATCCCTGCCCGTCCTAAAACTTAAGCCCCTCTTATTTCCAAGCTACATGAGCAGTCTACAGAGCAGAGCAGTCCAGGGCAGTCTTTTCCATTTTAAGATACACCAATATCTATAAGTGAGCTCATGTCATCATACCTGGTATTTGCTTCAATTTTTCAAACGTGGAACACTCCCTTAAAAACGAAGCAATGTAACACCAAGACCCTATCCGTTGTTGTTACGAGGCACAAGAGCTCCCAAAGAAAGATGTGGCAATCTGTCCCAATGGTTGCATAGTGCGGCAAATCATTTTATGGTTAAACAAAAGAGGGCACGGCAATAAACGTATATCCATTGCTCTCGCATGGCACAATAGCACGCAACGAAGGATTTCAGAAGTTGTTGCAAAAATTTGCAGAACGCTGCGCAATCAGCTAACGGATATACCAAGCAAGATAATCCCTAGAATTATGGTTATTGCTGTTGCGAAGTACAAGAGCGCCCACAGGACTTTTTATCCTAAAAATGCAAAATTGCACACAATGTTGCGTATGTTGCCCAATGCTACCCGTTGCAACGCGACACAAGTAATAAGCCAATCTAGGATCCAGAGACCACCAATCCTCGACGATCTGAGCAGATTTTCTTGCCCATGAGGACGCTTCGCCCAGACCACGGCGTTACAAACATGCTACAAGTCGGACGGCAAGATGCCCATTCCGACCACCTGGAAAGAACCTGACCTTATGATGTTTTGGATGTGATGGTAGCCTCTATCCATGTCTCTAGGCACTGCAGGTGAATGCAGTACGTCAGGTATGGCACATATTGAAATTTTATTGTTTCGCTTTGATTTAATATGCCGGTTTGGGTAGGTCTGTCACGCTAACTTCTCCGTCGTGCTTCTCCACCGGTGGATCTCGCGGGAGACCATTGATGGCTGGTGCCGGGGCGGACGCGCGTCAGAAGAAGCGCGGCCGGCCAGCCTTTCTTAACATTGATGCCCAATTTTGGATATGAGACGGCTCAGCCAAGCTCATTTCACATCAAATTCAGTTTATAAGAACTGTCAACGAAAATGAGGATCTTGAGAATGCTGCAAACAAAATGAGTTCTTCCTGCCAGGAGATTATTGAATACACGTCAAGACAGATCGAGGATGTCACAATAGGTAAAGCCTTAAAGTAGATCTTGAATGGCGGAGTATGTGGGGCCCAGCACCTACCACCTAGATCCCGGCACCCCCGTTTGGGATCGACGCACGCCCCTTCTCCGCAAGCATTGGCTAATTAACAGAAGTCAGCATGTCGCGAGGCAGGTCAATGTACGTCCGTTAGTACGTCGGTGCATTCATCCCATTGCCCACCACACGATGCACATCAACGAAGTTTCGCGGAACGCACGGTTCCTCGTCTCTCCGTCCATCAATACCTGACGCTGTCCGGGTGGTGTTTGATGGCGGCGGCCACCCGGGTGGGCCCAAGAACGCGGCGCCAGGCCCGGATGGCGTGCTCCTTGCCGAGCACCATCGCCTGCACCGGACCTGCCACACAGGGTACACAGGACACGGAACGCCAACGACGCACGTCAGAAGGCTGCCAGAAGTGGGAAGCAACGGGGCCATACAGCAATACGCATCACTAAAATAGTAGACACCTTCTTTAACAGTTGTGTGACAGTCACCTACCCTCAGCCTCAGACGATTACCTGGACACTGCACGTAAATCGCAAGCAATCACTCGGCATTGTCTCGTGCCATATCATGTGATGAGTGCCAGTTTAATTTGCACTTCACACTTCCTTCTGTGTAAAGACAGCACAGCATGTCCTGCTCTCGGTACCTGAGGTCATAAAATTGATCAGGTTGCTGAAGAATGGTTTGTCACGATGCTCCGAGTAGAACTCCATGGCCTGTTCTTTCGACAGCTGGATGCGACGACGCTGTGATGACACTTAGTGAGACGCCATCTACCGTGTCGTGGCGCAGATCACAGACAACTGCAGCGAATACAGGTAAGAATGCCGCAATAGACACCGGCAATATCTGGGACCACCATGTGACAAATGACGACCGGTTCGCAATTTCCTTTGAGCATGCCTCCTCAACAAAGTGAATCTCATTATACGGACAAATATAAGAGTGCTTGACAAGGGAGTGACGGCCGGACCTCCTGTACGAGTCGCACTCATCGTGTGACAGATAAGCGTCCCGCCTCCTGTTTCTGAGCATGCAATCCGGCGCAGATAACTTTGGGCACCATAAATACCCAGATATAATACTGCTTACGAACAAACTTACCACCGAGCATGAACAACAGTCGATTGGTAAATCACGTAGGGACACAAACCTGAATGATGGTAAATCCCTCCTTCAGAATGATCTTCTCAATTTCCTCTGCGTGCCCCATGGCATTTGGCTTTATCATTGCAAGTGTCTTCTCCATGTTCGTCTCAGCCTTGTTGCCAGCTGCCGACCAATAACGGCCACCTGCGGTATGACAGCTTGGTCGCAGAATGTCAAGAGAATAGTTGCCGGCCACGCCAGCGAGCAAGCGTCAAAAGGTGAACGACGTCGGTGCCCATCGCTTCCGCCGGACTCAGGCGCCTCGTTTCAAAATGGGAGCTCAGCAATGATTTCGAATCCGGCACTACTCAGGGCCTTCGGAAATCTAGCCGACTCGTGAAGCCTGTCAAAACGTGCCACTTGTATTGGCATGTGGCAAGGCAAATTCAGCACATCTAGGTTCAACCAAATGCGGCAAAATGGCTACCTCGATGTCAGGACTTCAAAATGGCTTCCGACTGATCACACACGCACAGAGCGCACAGGGCCGCAGCGCCGGCCGCGCAGGCCGAACGCAGGCATGTCATGTCATGTCATTGGGACTTAACGATGCACTCAGCTGCTGAGACTATATGGCGTCGCCCGCCTCTCACCCTGGCAGGAAGGGCGGGGACCGTAGGAAATCGAATCCCATGCCTCTGGTTTCCCAGACGCGCAGTGGTCAATGCAGACGCGTTAACCACTACACTACCGGCACCTGACGCAGTGACTGCAGCCTGCACACCGCTAACCCGGGACCCGCTGTGGCCTGCACCCTGACTACTGCTGGGCAACAGGGATCCGCCAGTACATGGTTCATCATACCTGCGCTTAGGGGCGTCGCTCTCTAAAATCGGTTGGGGGGTGGGAACTGAGCCGATGAGGTTGACCAAACCTACCCCAAAGCCTGGTTGCTCCCCCACTTCGGCCACTTTCACTTTCGTCTCGGTTGGAAAATGAATTTATAAAATGATGTTTTGATGCGGAGGAATGACTTCCCATTTTAAGGAAAGGATGAGTTGCACTTTTGTCAACAGCGTCCATGGCAAATAGATTGGTGAAGGTTTCATGGTAATGAGTGCTACAGGTTCGGAGCATGGAGCTGTTGTCTGCACCCAATTTTTGTGGTTTCGATTGTTTTTTTATGGTCTTTGACCTGACCCAAGGTCATCACGAGCTGGATGGGACAGGATACGGGCTATGGTGCATCAATCAGTAAAGGGTTCATGGTGATTGGTGCCATAGGCTCAGAGCACGGGGTTGTCTGCAACCCTCTTTTCTGTTTTTGTGACCTTTGACCTGGCCCAAAGTTACCATGTTCTGGAAAGGATAGGCTATCGACCAAGCGGCATTGAATGGTGAAGGCTTCGTGTCAATCGGAGCCATAGCCTCGGAGCACGGGGCTATCAACAGGCTTCGTCGACGTTAGTCCCTCACCGGCAGCGGCCACTCTTCAAGGGCGCGAATGAACACGGCCCAGTTGACCCCCGCGTCTTCAAAGTCTAAATGGAAGTTTCAGATTTACGTTGCAGGGGACACCAGCGCTAGCCATTAATTCCTTCCAAAGAGACTGGGCGAGGAACAAGGACTAACCAGCCCCGCCATTCCGAAAAAGGGTTTATCCCTACTCCCTACATTTGTTCCACATTTCTCAAAGTTCGGGGGCTGGGCACTGCAACTGAATTGCTGATGAGTGGGGAGTAAATTACTACGAGAACATACTCACACTAGTCGGCCACAAGCACCACACCTACCACCTGTCCTCGATATCCCTCCCGGGCAAGAACACGCCCACCGCTAATACCAACACGCAGCCGCGCGGCTGCCGTCGGCGCCATGAACGATGCTAGGCCAGTGTGCATTCTGGTTGTCATGGATACGTTGCGAACAGCACGTGAAAAGCTTGGACTGGTATGCTGTTGCCGGTTAGGTATTTGCCGTATAACGTTTTAAAATATAAATTGAATAAATCGACCTCAAAATAATTCTACTTTAGTGCGTAATGAAGTGAATGGTACGGCCAAATTCTATAGTTCTCTTGTTCTGTAACATTTTTGTAGCTTGTTTTTTTATGTGTCGAATCATTATTGGGATATGGTAACTAGATATGGAAGCAACAAGTGTTCCTTGATTCGACTTCTTTGCGCAGATCGGGTGCGCATTGAATTTTTGTATCATGCGTATGAATGTAGGGCCTTGTGATATATTACTTTAGGGTCTTCAGTTGTGTACAGCAGAAGGCAAGATTCAAGGTTGGTTGGGATTCGTTTTGTCTGTTGATTTCCTTTTGTTTTGGACGGTGGCGATGCTGGCAATGCGTCATCGTTATCAAAACATGTTTAGGCAGTATCTGAGATTTGGTTTTGGCTGTTGGGGGAGAGAACAAAAATAGTAAAACCACAGCTTGCAGTGAGAACAAAACAGCTCAGGTGAATTTTCAATGCACTCACAGCTTACACTGAAGGACATTCCGTGGCTGGAGATGATAGTAAACACCATGCTCAAGCATGGCTTGGTGATTGCCAAAGACACCTAGAGATGGGCTGCTTGTGATTTTTAGATTTTTTAGCTTCCTAAGTAAGTGCTTTATTCCTAAGTCTATGCTCACATGTATTTATTTTTTAAGCTGTGTGGCTGGTTGAAAGTTGCTGATATTGATAATGTCATTGTAAAGGTGTCAGTCCCAATTAAGGATGAGAGAGCTGTCCCACAGGGTGCAAGAAACCCTGCTTTGGCTTTAAACTCAGGTTCAGATTCTGTGGTGATGCTCTGTAGATCAGTAAAAAAATTCATGCTCTTGTTTATTGCCTCTCTTATGCATTTTCATCATGTATTCAGCTCAGATTTCTTGGAGAATATGCCTTCTCTTCCATGCTAAATTCTTCCCTCAAGAGAGACTTCCAGAGCCATGGTTTTTTGTGTGCCCAAGTACATGCTTGGGATGGTGTTTGACATCATCATTATACCTTCTATACAATATCCATTTTTGATAGTTTCAAATGCAGCTTTAATAAGAGTACTGTTTAAGAAAAATTGCAGCAAGTTTTTCCATCAAGATATGATTAATTAACTATATATTTAGAGGTACATCTTAGTATGGCATCATACACTTTCATATAAATTTGTATTGCATTACAATGATTTCCAAGTGCAATCCAGAAATGCTGAGTCATTATGCAGACAGGATGTTCTCTGTGCTTCTACCAGGCCCCTGAAGAGGTGCTGTTGTTTTGAGTGGGGGCTTGGGCCCCATGTCTGTGTCTGAGCATTTTGGTGTTGTTGGATGGTAGGTGGGTTATATGTGTGCTGGTGAGCAGCAGTTGACCGGGGCACTGAGAGCACTGCAAGGAAAGATTGTGCGCGATATGGCAGAGAGATGTGGCTGTAACTGGCAGGCGGTATCCCTGGTTTAGTTTTGAGTGTGGCGCTGGATGCTGTCAGAAGTGTCATGAACAGCTTGCATTTAGCTATTGTTGTGCACAGAGAACAATTTTTGCATTCTTTGAAGTGCACATTGTGGGAACAAAGTGTCTTGGGGCTTAATGCACCAAGAAACAGCCAAGTTTTAGACCCTATGTTTAGGCTGGATGCCCACTTTTGATTGCTGGGGATGATTGTAGTGCGTCAGCATTTGTTAAATACATTTCCATAAAATGCAACTGAGCTGCTTTCACTCGCTAGTTCATAAACATGTCCAACATCAAAAATGTCTCCAGTCCACTAGGTTAATGCACATGTGATTGAATGGTGCATGTCAAGCATGACATCAGATGAACATTGATGTCCAGCCAACAGAGCAATAGTAACTGCCCATGCTTTGGCTGGGCTAATGCGTGGTGAGGCATCATAAATGTATGGGCTGTTTGCATATTATGCAATGCTTAAACCACTCTCATTTGTTTGATTCGCCACACTTTTTGCTTGTAAAATTCAAAAGTAACTCCAGGGCCATACACAGTCTGGGTGACTCAGGCTGGATACAAATTGGTAGTAATGTACTTTGTTCAAAGTCAAAGGTAAGCTGATTCTTTTTTCCTCTTCTCAGTGTAATTAAAATCCTATGGAAGGATAGATGACAAGTGTCTTAGTTTAGCCACTATTTAAAATAATGATAGCATCCCTGGGAGCAAGATACCAACCATGAAGGCACCAATTGGCAACCTAAGATATGGCTTAAATCATATTAATACCAAAAAAATATAGGATTCATGCACCACTGCCTGTGTTACAGACATTTTCACTAAATGCTTATTAGATTGCATTTATTTATGGTTTTGTGAAATAATTCTGCTGTGGATACACAGCACGGGGTTAAGGTGGTCTCATCATTTCATATATATTGATATGAAATAGCATTGTGATAGAACTGCAAAGTCATGGCAGAATGAGCCTTTTGTAATTAATCCATCACCTTTGAGTAGGGAGGTTATGCTCTTACATTTTCTTTCATTATGTAAACATTTCTTCATGCAGTAGCATAATGTACTTGGGTTATGGAGCATGAGGTTTGGGTATATCAGGAAGACATATGAAGAAGGATTTCCAGTCATGATGCAATGGTATTGGGTCTAGAGTCAACATTGCATGATGATGCATGATAGGCATGCATCATGGGCATGGAACCTGAACAGGTTCATACAAAAAGTTTATTATTGGGGCTGAGTAAATGTATTACTTGATTCATCAACTCTTATAAAGATATGTTGAAATGATGGGCAGTTTTGTATCATTTGATTGTGCTGAGTTATCATTAAGTTTCGAATTTAGGAACCAATGCAATTTAGAGTTAAAAGCATGGCATACCCCTATGGTTATGGTATGGTATGGTTATGGAACAAACTCATGCTTAGCTGTGAAAGATGTTAGAGGCAATGTTAGAATAAATTAAATTTGTGCTGAGTCATGATGGAATTGATACCCTTGGATGCTTAGTGGAGTTAAGGTTAGAGTTCATATGACAAAAGAAGTAGCAGAGGAAGTCGGTCAACAACAAATACTATGATGGATATGTAGTGTGCAAGTACTCATATAGACAAGTGGAATACTCTCATTGATAGTCATTGCTTAAACAAAAGTAGTGTTTTATGTGGGCCTATTGAACAGCATTTCATACTAGCATTGCCTGCATCAGATTGACTTTCAGAATTGAATAATTTGCCTCGCACTTGGATTGAAGATCAGGATAGCCCCCCAATCATGGACACATATTATCAGGTTGATTAGTCGCGTTCATTTCAGATGACTCGCGGCTCTGGGCCGCCACGGCCTGTCTACCTCTGGTCTGTGGCGTTCATTTCAGATGACTCAAGCCTCGACACCCCCACGGCCTGTCTACCTCTGGTCTGTGGCGTTCATTTCAGATGACTCGCGCCTCGGCGCCGCCACGACCTGTCTACCTCTGATCCGTAGCGTTCATTTCAGATGACTCGTGCCTCGGCGCCGCCACGGCCTGTCCACTTCTGGTCCGTGGCGTTCATTTCAGATGACTCGCGCCTCGGCGCCGCCACGGCCTGTCTACCTCTGATCCGTGGCGTTCATTTCAGATGACTCGTGCCTCGGCGCCGCCACGGCCTGTCTACCTTTGGTCCGTGGCGGACGTGCAGAAGTGGTTCCGCCGCCACCTGAGCGAGTACCACACCAGCTACTCAGAACACTTTGTACAGGTAAGTATGTGCTATCTGCCTCCAATGCCTGCTTACAGTTGTGGAGCTTAGGAAACTTGGTGACACAGCATTCTTGTCAAAAAAAATAGAGACTTTTCACTTGTTTTTGTGGTGTATCGTAGTTGTGTTGTCAGTATGGGGTCATGGTAAGTGGTTGGGAAAAGTATACCTCAGGCGTTTGCAAGGGTGTATATTGCTAAATAAGTCGGGAAGGGGGTTGAACAGTGGCATATGATGAAAGCCATTTACAAAATGGCCAAAAAACGAGGTTCGCCTCGATTTTGGTCAACTTCTTTTTCAAAGTTGGGAGGGTGAGAACTGTAGCCTTGTGTGTGTGAGAGGGTATGGACGGGATGGATATGACATGGAATGGACGGGACTGCAATCCTCTACCCGAATTGAAATGGAAATTACACCCCTGAACATGTGGTACCCCAGTGGAGTCACTCATCCCCATTTATTCCTCATTTTAGTTCTGCAGCTCGATCGTCGTTTAATGATCCTGTTGTGGTAAGGCAGAAAGTTGTGTGTTCATAGGTGCCATGTCTCTTTGCTTTTATGTCAGTTACCATAGCATTTTTACCAGTAGGTGATTCAAGCATTTGTTTTTTTCAAAACTGGACCCATGAAGTTCATTACCTCCTACGCATATTGCCCTTTCATCCATTTCGCCCAGTGTTATGCATCATGGTGCACCTCCCACATCAGAGTTTGACCGCAGGCATTCACCAAAGGGAACGACCTCGATACCCCCATCTCACCCAAATTTTCCCAGAATCGACCGTCAATGCAGCGGAGGCACTTTTGTGATATCGTTTTGTCCCAAAAGTATTCCTCCTTTTGTATTTCTCTCTCATTAATATCTTGGCTATGCAGCGGGCTGCGCGCGCTAGATGAACTCGAGTCTGAGTAGACCAGACGGCCGTCGCTTCTGCTCACCGCTGCTCCGGGCCGGCCGCTGGTAGCCTTGTGTGGTGCCTGACCAGCCCGGGCCCTCGGCAGCACGACATCACGGGCGTGGCGCTGGTGCGCCTAACTCGCCCCCAGCTGCAGAACATGGGCATCGGTGACCCGCGGCACCGCGAGGACATCTACCGCGAGATCGCTAAACTACGTCTCAAATCGGACCTGCTCGAGATCCGCAACGTTTAC